GAAAAAACGTGTGTTCTAATTGTAGAAACTGAGGCTCAACCGCCACGGGGCTCAATATGGATAGAGAAGGGGACGAGAACGTAAGTCGAGGTCCTGAATAATTTCCCGAGGGCTTCGTAGATATTAAATACAAGTCCCCTTTGCGTGGCTTGCGATTCATGTATATAGTGGCGGTTGACCGTTACGGCAGGTCGGTGGCTACGAAACAACTGGGAGGATTCCCCGGAACCAAGATATGGGGTTCGCGATGTTTCAAAGATACCCGAATGGGATCGCTTGTAATTATACTTAAAGAACTTTAAACTTTTCATCTAGAATAAATTACCCTTAGCCTCCGCAAATAAGGTACCGGAAGGATGAGGCGTAGCCGTGTGTTACTGCGAACGCCTAACTCTGAGAGGGTATTTTAACCAAACTTTCACTTGCGACGGCAAGACGCACATGGCAATTCAAACTTCTACTCTTAGCGTAGAAAAAACCAGTAAGGGGTAGAAAACGTGGCAGTGATTCTATTTCTAGAAGCGACAAGGGGAAGTTCGACGCGCCCCAAACCGACAAGCCTGAGATGATGTTTGCCGGTAGTTCCATGACCGATTTGGAAAGCTAGAGCAATAAACGTAGGTAGGTGGAAGACACCGAAAGCTCAATAGTTGTCGTGAGATTAAACGTCGTCTTGTGAGTAACACGGCCTGGCTAGTTGGCCTATCCTCATGTAAAATGCGCCTCTCGGCTTCCTATTCCGACCCCACAGAGCTCCCCTTACCTACATAATCAACGCTTGAACAAGTCCAAAGTTAACCATCTCACTGTAATAATGTTAGATTGCTGTCTTGATAGAGACATATTTGACCTACGGTAGTGGCCGTCTTGTAATGAGTCCTACCTAAGAACCTGGACGCGTCTACTCGCCAATCACCATTAGCCTCCGTTTCAACCTTAGGGGTCGACTGCGGCTGAGAGCTGGGCGAACTCGGGGATTAAGCAGACGCCTCCTGGCCATGGCACGTCCCGATTAGGGCACATATACGGCCTCCACAACGATTTCGGGTAATCCTTAGGTATTCTGACACGGTAGATGCTGGCCCCATTCGTACAGTGTAGTAAGCAGCCCGTGGATCATGATTAGGACTGAACACAAAGTGTTGTTCGCTTACACCTTGGACCCTTGAAAGTAAAGTTGCGCCCCGAATCAGAACGTGAGTTTTCTGGGAGGAAGCTGACAAAGCCAAGTAGCTCAACTTAGCAGCGGACTATAACTCTATCATAGCAAATAGATGTCAGACTTTCGGTATGCAAGGGAATAAATGCCATGTGCTAGGTACTCTGAGGTGATATTTTAAGACGATAGTTGCATCCTAGGCTCGGCCGAGATCGTCTATCAGGCTGCCGGGACACACACAGGGGGCGTTTCTAGTTCATAATCAACTGCCAGTAACCTCATTCAGCATTCAGTTCGCAAGTTGACCGGGACAAAGCTCCTTATGCAGGCATCCGGGGCAACCAATAACAGGAAAAAGGTGTCTTGCAAACAATCCGAGCCCGGTTTTTGAAGTGTTGTGATAACCGTCGGTGTCATTTCCCATTGATTAGGTGGCTGGAGATGTGTCTCAAAGATGCTAACGCGCCTTAGATAGTAAGCATAAGCTAGATCCGCAAGATCTACAGAGCTTGAATCGAGGATGTCGAGCTGTGGAGGATTCGCCTTCTTCGATCATCTTGTATTATTTTATCTATGGTGGTTGGTTGAAAATCAGCCGACGTCTACGGTATAGTTGATGAGAAAGAGTGAAGGTACTATAGAAGCTTGTCACGTCAGAATTCGTGTGATGCATTTTTAGAAACGCGATCAGGATTAAGGTTGTGGAGATTAATGTTAATGCTAGCCTAAACCAAGCTTAACTAAATTAGGCAAGAGAGCGACGTTTCTTCTCGACGTTATTGGTTGTTTCATATGTGGATTAGTGAGTGTGACGCCATAACCGTCGAAACGTAGATCGCATCTGGAAGTACGTACTTCGATGTACTAGAATCGCAATACCTACATAAGACTCGAATCTCATGGGATGTATTCTTAGAAACCAGTAAGTTTGGGTACGGGGAAACCTTACCAGAGGATCAACTACCATGGACGAATGCATATGTCCGAAGGGAGTATATTGTGGCGAAGTAGTCGAAAGCAGGTTCCGATAGCGTCTCCCGCTCAGACGGAAGATGATGCGCGAGCGAGACACATATGCACTCAAGCAGATGCAAGATTCAGGCTATTATTTGGCGAAGGGCGAATTTTTGGAACCGGGCCCTCGGCAGAGCGAGAAATATGTCATAGGGCCTTTAATGCGTTGGATGTCTGATGAATTATACGCAGGTACTCATGAAGCAGTATGAATGTCAAGAGCTGTTTTGTCACTAACCATCCGTAATCGGAAACGTGTCGGAACGAAGCACATCGTTGCCTCTACTCGTAGTGAATTCGGGTTACACCGTTTCATGAATTTAAGGGGTAATATACTATGCGGTCCATTATTCGATATAGTAAACTAGAAGTCTTTCTGAAAGTACGATTAAACATTTCGAACTCAGATCACAGTCTGTCAACCCGATCTAGGTAGTAGGTTCGAGTAGGTCCGGGGTAAAGGATTCGATCGCATTGTATAGAAGGATGCATAATACATGACGGATGATGGCTGACGACGAGTGCTCCTGTAAAGGTGGTCGAAATCATCTCCCCGCACTCGACGATAGGATAATCATAACTCTCGCGGTAGATCAGGGGGGAGTGCAAAACATCGGAAGGCTTGCCTGGCTTTTATGGTAGAGCCTATCTGATGGACGACCGACAAGATGCATGAGTATGATTTGCGAATAGAGCCTGACGCTAAACATGACGTGAAAGGATGTGGTGAACCCGTCGAAAAGGCTAGCAGTCTAAGTGGCCAGGCCCTGTATAATCTCGATGGTACCCAAGCGGCCGAGCTTGACGATAAACCAATCACTCAAGTACGACGGCCATCAGCGTTGCAACCTGTCTGATGCGGGTTGCATCCTCAAGATATGGTTGGCAGATTTGGAGCCCGCGTCTCCCTCTTTCGTTTCTCACATGACGGTTCAAACATTTCGATCTCCCTTCTCCTGAAGACTTACATATCGAACTACTTGAGTCAGTTTGCTGAGCGGGAAGGTCAACTACGAAAAAAAGAAAAAAAAAGAAAAAAAGCCGAATAAAAGCATCTCTTCCTTGCTAGCCCTGTCGTGAAGGGATACAGCAGCGTGTGGTTTGGAGAAGTGTTCTGCTATGTACCTGCCGTATTAGAGGCGTAAAAGTCTCGGCGATAGTCGGCGGTAATGTAGATCACTGCCGCGCGATACAATACTGTAGATTTCGATGCTCGGTGAACAGATAATTTTGAAGACAACTATCCACTCGCGATTAGTGATGTTGTATGTAAACGGCCACCACTACGCTACTATTAGAATCGAGGCGTTCTTAATGGACATTGATCTATCTCTGGTGCTAAATATTTTATTAGATAAGGTTAGGTACCTAAGGAAGAAATGGTACGGATAATAAAAGAACGGGTCTCTCGAGTCCCGGCGGGCTACCTATGACAGGCGACTTAGACATGTTGTACATTCGTGGACGCAGTACACGTCGTACATAACCGGCCGCAGTGGCTAGTACCAGTGGGGTCTAGGGGTCTTACGGGTTCTAACGGCACCAAGTTAGTCGAATAGGCCACTACCTATTCTACCTAATGCATTGAAAGCCCGAATTTTGGAATTATATCGCACCATGTAATACATAGCAACTGCAAGATTTTACATACCAAGTTTGTACTAGTTATTTAAAAATGTCGCAAACATTAACTCCGTTGAATCGGCGATCAGCTTCAAGGGTCTCGATCTACATAATAGGTATGCTAGGTAAGTTTGCATATTGTTCATCTTTTTTAGCACAAGTCAGCCTAGTGTTACGCGTGTGAGCCTCGTCCATCATGCATCTTTGCGCCACAGAACCTTGGGCAACTTATGTCGAGTGACAATCACTTGAAAAGTTTGGCTTACGGGCTTGTAAGTCTATCGTCATGAAGGATTATCGATGAACGGATATCCCGTAGACCCCAATCCTATCTATCACCGACTCTACCTGGTGCATACGAAATAATGGAGTCTTTTTACCTCGAATGACCCGACCAACCCAATCCTAACCATTGGATCCTTGGGCGATCATGTCCTTGAATGGAAGTATTTTTTACAGATCTCGTTGGCAGAACTCCACAATGCTGGTATGTCCGCTGTTCAAAAGTGTCCTCTCGAATGTTTATTCAAGTCCTCACACCGAGCAAAAGGCATAAATATGTTTGGTATCTAGAAATAGGATGACATTATGGCATCATGGTATCATGGTTGTAAAGGCGGGCGAAGCTGATCATATATCATATCAGTTAGGTAAATTGTTGGTAGATGCACGGCCAAAATAGCATACCTACCTCATTTATTGAAGAAAGCGTACGGTGGCTATGGCATCGGTTGTCCGATTGCTTTTCGGCCCAGCCTTCCGATTATTATTTCATAACCAGTCCTCCCCCCAAGTTTGCTAACGTAGATTTGATCCGTTTCAAGAGGTTCTTATTTTTCATTCAATTTTATATCTTGCATACAGCATTCTCCTAACCATCGTCTGTACGAAACGAACAAGACCTAACATCGTCGACTTGTGCAACTCACATTTACAGTGTTCGTCAAGTCATGTAAGTATTTAACGACCGCCAATACCTTATTCGAAGCACACGCCGCTACCTTAATTCCTATATTCACTTTGAAACAGCACACATTGGACCATTGAGATGTAGAGAAGGGTCGGGATGGTCCGCCAAGTGATTTCTCTTTTCGAATCGAGCCCTTCGATTTTCTTATTTAGGACTGGCCCTTATTGTCCATCGTATTCTTCTCGATATTACTGTATTAGTTACATCCTCTGCACACTTTCACTTCGATCCGTTTCTTCTTGATGAGAAAAGGATGGACTAGCTAGTCCTACAGTAGTTACGCACCTACCCATTCGTAACACCCCTCAACCCTGTCTAGGGTCTGAAGTCTCGAGAGTTACAACACCCGCTAAGACTGATGTTCCAGTGTTCCAGGTTTCCAGGTTCAGGGGAACATACCTATGTACATACATATTGTACCCCCCTGTCCCATGCCCCCTGTCTGTAAGGTACGTAGCTACGTTCCCCCCACCCTTCACTTATATCCCATGTAAACACGGAAAACGCAGTTGGAGAGGAAGGATATGTATGCCACCCACTGCCCAACTTCTTTTCTTTATGAATATCTTCATGCCTACAGCTCCCTCGAACCCCACGATGCACTTTCCATAACTGCCTTTTAAAGAAAAGAGCTGGCCTCAGCTTACATTCTTTACGGATCGACAGGTTCAGTTCCACCTTTTAACTCACCTATAGTTATTACATTACTATACTATATCGACGCCCAAGCGCTTCACCGCCGGCGGACCCATACCCCATATCCCATATATCTTAACAATATGACCACCATTATGTCTGTAGAACAGCCACACCCATCGAATGGGCTGGACGAGGTTCGGAAGTCAGTGGCTTCCAGAATATCCAAAGAATCCCGTGAGCAGTCGAGAAATAGCTTCGCATCATATTCGACCTGCGAAGAAGACCTGGCCGACGTGTTCACCGATATGGACGATGCGTGTATGATCGAGGAGGCTACGGTTTTGGATGCTCGGGAAGTTACTATTGCGACTCCTCCTAAGTTGCCAGAGAAGAGCGCACTCAGGACTTCAAGACTCTTGAGTACCCTACAACGGATTTCGACCGAACCGATCACCGACCCGCACGATGCCTACCTCTCTTCCGAGGAGGATGCCTCTTCGTCCGCAGACGACTTCTCCGACTACGAGTGCGACTCTAACAGCGACCAATCCGAGAAGTCCCCAGCGCGACGCAAGAGTCAGGAGGACACCGCTAGGGCCGTCTCGGTAATATATATCGGAAAGCCTTTTGTAGTAGACCTAGTGAGCGGTCGAAGATCAGTATCACCTATTCGAAGACCTCGAACAAGATCCTCCTCTCCTTCTATCCGCACAAGCTCGTTTGAAAGTCGGCCAGGTCCGTTACGGACAACTAGCTTCGCATCCACCATGGATATGTCCAGGGAGAGTCATTCCTTCCTCAGCCAGGACCCCTTCGCTACCAGCAACTACAAGCTCGAATCAGCATCGAAGGGACCGGTGCCAACTGACATTATCCCTCGAGCTAAGACTCCATTCCATCGTCTTCAAAGGTCGATGAATCTAGTTAGGAAGCGCAGCCGTCCAAATCTTAAGGACGCCGCCTCTAGAGATAGTATCCTTAGTTTGAGATCCATATCAACCTCAACTACGGATCTTCAACTTACATTAAATACGTTACGCACAGCCGGTGAGGAACAGCAGCAAGCTAGGAGACCCGAGCCAGTATCTGCTGCCCCCGCACGGCCTCAGACCCCCGTGACTTACAACGATATCATGATGTCGGCGCGGAGGGAATCAAACCCACGATTACTTACTAAACTACCTCCGTCGACACAACCTACGAGCCCAAGCCCAACAACGTTAAAGAGGGGCATATTAAGCGGCCTCAATATGAATCGGCGGCGGAGTTTACGGCTTAGCAAGCCGTGAAAACTCACGCTCTTTACCATCATAATTTCTTATTAATTTCATTAATCTCGGGGCATACAGCTAGTAGGCGTTATAGAGGCAACATGGAGTTAGGTTTGGGGGCGCATTATCACCACTGCAAGTTATAGGTGCATTGAGTTTGACAACGTTTATGGGAGAGTGTTAATTGTGATACCTTGGGATATGCCTGTTAATGAGCAACGGCCACGGTATAAGGGAAAAATTAGTAGCAATAAGCTAATGGGAGGATTACATGAGTTCATTGACGCTGCTATGGCGCTTACAATGGCTCTTAGATGAATGATACTACGTCACAACTCATTTTGATTTCACTATTGAGTTTCTTATTTCCATGGCTTCGGTGTGTGTGTGAAAGTGATATATGGCTTATCTGCGACATGGGGGATCCTATTGCTAGTTTCTATCAGTTTCGTCTGGAGTTGGTCTAAGCCTGAAAAATGTTTCAGTATAACAAGAGTCCCTAGTCTGTGATTGGCGAAACGAAACTTTGACGATACAGCCCATATCTTGGTTTTCAACACACCAAGTTTCACACTTGGCCTTACCGCATCTCCAATCGCGACTGTCAGATCGTAGAGCGCATCGCCCTCTTAGCTCCCTCGAGAATTTTTTTTTTATTCTCTTCTGCCGATAGCGGGCGGTGTAAGGAGTTGACACCATCGTCGTTACGAGCAAGACTTACACGTATGGACTGGCTTATACCTGCAAGGAACGAGACTAAGAAAATGTTGCAAACCAATCATAATTCTCCTCCACCACACCCCAGCCAACTCATAAACCTGATCTTGGTATCCAGCATATCGCTCGCCGTACTAGTTGTTCACCAACCTCCTTTGAGAGGCGCATATGAGGTATTGACATCAAAGACTTTATTTAGTAAGACTAACGGATACGGGAGAAGTATCACAGCCTGCTAACCGTCACTATCATATCACCAACGCCCAGCCAGACCTGCAAGCTGCAAGCTGCAAGCTGCCGCGTATGTAATACATAGGTAACCTAACTTTAACTCTGTATGTGTATGTGTATGCATCTCTATCTCTCCTTTTCCCCTTAAAAAACAAGATCCGTGTAAGCGAGAGTTTTTACCGCCCCGATGGGCAATGCGCCACCTTCGGAATGTGGTCACCGAGAGTCTTGCGGAAAAGTTCGTCCAAGCTAGAATATATTGATGCTGCGTGACCCCATCCTGCCAGTCCAGAACTGGCGACCGCCAATGCCCACCTTGACGTTCGCTGTGTATATGTGGTATGGTATGGCGGAGCGGGTGGGGGGCTATGAGGAAAAGTCACCGCTAATTCGACGAATGCGCGCATCACGACTTTTTGTAAGAGGAGGGGGGGTTCAATCTATGTACGTTATTCTCAGGTGCGGATATAATCGAGGCGTATGAATGAATGAATGAATCGGGCAGAACTAGATCTTTAAGGCGTCGAGAATATATCTAACCGGATCTACGGAATATTTACCTGTTGATTTTACTCGCAGTTTACTGCCTTAAGCACGTGTATGTACTTCGTAATCCAGAAGATGATGGGCTTCGTTGACCGGCCAGATGGCGCAGGGAATTAACGGGTACTTAGCTGTTATGTAACAGCAAACTTTCAAGTAGCACAACGCTACCGCACGCACGTATAACCTTAGATATATGCTACAGCCGTCCTTCTTACTTTGTACGTGTAGGTATGCATGAACATGACACGACAGCACGCCCGACAAAAAAAAGCAAAGGGCAGAATAGAATTCTCCTATTGCGACTTATGTAGTACATATGTATACCACATATACCATATATACATCTATAGATATAAGGATATACATACATCGATAATGCAACCCAACCCCAACGCAGCGGTTGCCCCCATCTCGCACAAGCGAATCACGATTCCAAAAAAAGCTAAACGCCCACGACACCTGCATAGAGACTTGAAGAATTTGGGGTCTGGTTCGCCGGCCTCTTACTCACGCACCACTAACAGAACATAGCATAGCAGATATGCAAGACCCTAACTAAACCCGGCTGGGCGATCAACCGCCAGCCATTCGTTCGCCAAGACACCAGAACGCTCTAAGATCTTAAACACCCGGACCAATTGCGTGCCGCGCATCGTATATATATCTATCTCACATATTTTATAGCACGGCACGTATTATATAGCATAGACGATATATAGCGTAAGGCGCATTAAGCTATGGAGGAAACCGTCCGATGTTGAAGACCTCGATATCGGAGAAAAGACAGGGCCTATTGTTTAGTTGGATGATTAACTAAGCTTTAACTGTAGATATATATGTACTTCGTACAATGAATGCATGTTAAAGTTGACCAAGCATCGCGCCCCGAGCAGCTGGACGGGCGCGTGGCTTGCCCCTGGATGAAACTGATCCCGAGGCGTATCAAACGAGCAGCCCAGAAGCTTGATTCTTGGTAACGGCATACCTGAAAACGCCCCTCCCCCTCCCCCTCTGACGAGTCGAGATCGAGCTTTGAGCAAAGTCGCAATAGAGGGGGAGGGGTTCTGCGGTGTCGCCCATCGAAACGCAGCTCTGTTCCAACTTCGCGCCGCTCTCTGTTTATCTAAGTGCTGTCGTTGATTCGTACGAAAAATCGGATGATTGAGGCGCTTAGATATAGTGAGTGCATATGGTTCAAGCCAACAAGTTAGTCACCCGTAGTATTCGGCCCCCGTGGCTGACGGCACATTAGCGTGGTATTTATTCAGTCATTCATTCGGGAGGCGAGTTACAAAGTGAGGGAGGCCGCGTCTTCCGATGTGCCCGCATAGACGGTGATCCCCACGCCCCGCGCGGATCCCGGTATCAGAGCTGTCGTATCTCATGCAGCGCCGAAGCAAAGCAAAGCCGTTATCCCATTCCGTCGGGTCACGTCACGTCATCACGAAGAAGAAGAAGAAGAAAAGAAAAGACGCAATACGACGTGATAAGACCCTCCCAGCACGAGGACGCAAGGTACGATCTGAAACTTGAGACGAAGAGATGCGATGTCGTCGTCGTTACCACCGCGCACAGACGGTGGATATCGCGAACCCTACCGTTTCGCCTCTCCCCTGCCGTGTTTCAGATGCCCTCGTCGCGCCGGCCTTGGCTTCTACCGGAGGATAATCGATCTGCTGGAGATTTCGGGCACGTGGTTATGGAGACGAGGTTACAGGATCGGTCTAGTTGTACGCTATTGTGTGGGTAGAGATGTGGTTTGGGGGTGTCCGGGTCACGCGATGCGGGAGCGGACCGTTGGACGGGTTCGCTTGTTGTGTTTGCGGGTATTCCGGGCCCGAGGCTGTTGCCGTTGCTGTTGCCGTTGCTGTTGGGGTCACTAGATACTTCGCCTGGAATTTTAAAACTTTCTATCGCCGACCCTGCTTCTTCTATATAGATATATCCGTACTCTATTTTAATTAAATATTAAATAGTTAGACATTAAACTCTACAGTTCGATCCACTTATATGGTCCCTTTTCGCCTAACGAACATATTAGCCATTTTAGTTCCAACGTTGAGACAAGAGATACGGGCGAGTCCCATGAGGCATGGATGCAAATACACCCCAAAAGCAATTAAAAAGGCATCTGTAAATTACGAGTGCGCTGTTGATACATAAATAGCCTTAACTTACTGCTCCCGATGTTGAATCCATAAGAGACCACTAACCCCTTTCCGAACGGTATAGGAGAAGTATACTAGCCCTTAGAAAGGAGCAACTAAGCTATATTTCAACCTCCTGTCATTGATAGCCACATGTCATAAGTTAAAACCTGAATGATCATAATTGCTACCTCTGTCGTATGCGTCTCGTCCTTGTCATTTGTGAGCATTGATATAGGACATTCCGTCCAAGCGACATTAGAAATTCAACTAAGATATACTGAGGTTGATAGTCATTTACATGCATAAATTACCTCGACTTCAAAGTAAGATGTAGTAAATGCTCCAACATGCGCAACAGCCCATCTATATCATAGGGTATAGTCACCTCTACACCAATTCCTCCTTTCTAGAGTCCTATCACACGCATAATACTACACTTCGGCGCTCTCTAATAGATATTAGGTGAATGACAAGATATATCCACAGTTCAAGAAACTACTCCACTGGCACGGCCCTTTTCTATAGTATCATAATAACCCTTTGACTTTCCACCAGTCCGAGAGCCAACGATAACACGTATCCTCAACACAGTTCAACAGCCACGACTACGAGAACTTTCTACCAAGCCACGCTCTATACCCGACATTTTCCCATCCAGAATAAGGCCTTATAAGTAAAAATGTCAGAGGAGGTCTTAAACAAATGGACAATGGCCAGGTTGGTACGGTCCTAGCGATATTTCTCCGCCACACCTAAGAACTACTACTACTACCGCATACCTATGCAATAAATAACCTTATACAATCCTTATGAAGTATCGCTAGGCCCTGGGGTTCGATTCCCTAGGTGGCCACATCAACTTTTTTATTTTTTATTTTTTTCGTTCTTTAGGCGCACCCAAGCGGTACAATGCTAATATATTATTAACCCAGCCTGTCCATCTTTCAATAGAAAACACGGGACTTTTTCTTTTTCTTGGTATATCTAAAAGGAAACCAAGTGGCTTGCTTTCATTTACTGGACTAACCGACGGCAAATGCGTTATGGAATCGTAATGATTTACAGGTATCGTTAGCGAAACAGAAATGGCATTATATTCTATAATAGGCGCTACACTCGTCGGCGCGACACTCGTCGGCGCGAAAACCCGTCGAAATTCGACATAAGATGAAAAGGTGTGCAGAATTCCAAAAAGCTTTTGAATCCATTAAATGCCTTATAAGATACCTTAGGTATTGTTATACTTGCGGACATCCAGAAAGATATTAAGGCGACTATTTCCACCGTATGCGTTGTGATCACAGAGTTTGACAAGCGAATGGCTGCCTACCCGTATTACTATATTAGCATATTATTAAGAGCGAAGCCAAATCTAGTTGTACGAGCCCAGGGGACAAGTAATTCGAGTGCGACATTGTGATATCTTCTAAATCGTTCCTGGGTAGGTACCTATAGGACTAAGACCGTATACAGGTGAAGTCATGATCTGTACATACACTCATAAATCTGTGCTAGACCTAGTATTTCCCCGTTTAGATATCGTTGTCGCCGCTAGGAACCCAAGAGAGGACAGTAGCTAACTTGTGATAGCTGTCATGGGCCTATCCCAGCCAATCGTGGTCGTAGGAGTTGTCATCGCACACCTTGAGTCCTTGACAGCCACTATCGTCACCGGAGTGAATATGAAAGAACCCAACCAGCGCGACTTCCTCCCAGACTACACGCTGCTATTCGACGGACGGATGCCTCAGAGTTTTTCTCCTTGAAAATTTTTCATGATCCCCTTGAGGAAGCAATGAATCATGCGGTAGCTACGATGATAGCACGGACCAAACATATGGGACGGGACAGACATCTAAATATCTATCTATATAAACATGTGTCCCCCCTAGCTTTCTTCTGAACTCTACTTAGATCACAGTTATCCGGTGCCTCTTCAGACTAGACTAGTCTACTCTGCCATCACGAACTACCCGCGTCAGTTTACCGACTACCAGTTACCACTCTACCGCTCTACCAACCAACGACCTCTCAGTACATCCAAGATGCTCCCTCAACTTTCCCTCCTAGCCCTTCTCCCCCTCGCCATCACAGCGACCCCCATCTCCGCGCCTCCCGCTGGAGTCACACCTACCCCTGGCGTCATGATCGACGAGATTCACGTCGACTGCCCGAACGACGCAGCCCAGCAGGCTTACAACCAGTGCTACAATGACAGCGCGCCCCAGAACTGCGGTGACAAGCCTGGTCCCGACAAGAAGATCTGCGATCAGCTGTGGCAGATCTGGTGCGGTAAGCTTTAGCCTTTTCCCCTTCCCTATTTTCCGCTTCTCTAGAACCCCCAACCCCTATATATCTACCTATACATACGCTGGTCCCCTCGCTCACTAGAAAATAAATAAACTAACATGATTCGACTTCATAGGACAAGGTGCCGGCTGCAATGTCACAGAGTCCTAAGCGCTACGAAAGTAATCAATACCCAGGGCCTTAAGATAGGGATCGGTTTTAGACTTAGAGACGGGCATGGTCACATTCAGGGGCTTATCTGCCTACTAAGAATGAACGTCGGAGGACCAAGTACGGGGATACAAGCAGAAGAGAGGATGGTTGATTTGATTTGGGGAGGAAGATATAAACGGCTACCGTAACGTCTGCTAAGTGAAAAGAACCCCGGGTTGATATTTAATTATCCGGCAGTCTAAAGTATGTTGTGCCTGTGATTCAAACTTCATGTCGCGATTGGATAAGAGGTAGTGATGATATTTGGACAAGGTGATTAAAAATTGACATTACTAAAGTGTAGCTCTAAACCATTATTTAAACCATCCGCCTGTATGTATTGGCAAAGCCGACTATCCAATTCATATACCACTATATACCCCCACAATAATATCGTATATCTTATTTACAGAAGCTTCGTAGCAAGCGCGGCTGGCTGCTCCAGGATGATACCCGGTCCAGCAATGACGTTCTCCTTGGTCGGAGCACCGGGAGCATCAGCGACTACGGCGGCGATGACGCCCTTGGTCTCGAATTGCTCGGGAATGGTAACGCGGATCTCTTCCTCGGGCCAGCACGATGTGTCAATGGGCACGCTGATGTTAGCAAGGCCGTGGAAGAAGACAGCGTAGTACTCCTTGTCGCTGTCGAACTTAGGCTGGTTAGTCGGGTCGGTGAAGCTGAGCCCGATGTTGGAGCCAGGCGTTAACGACTTGGTGCCTTTAGCAGCGCTGAGAGCAGGCAGCTTCTGGCGCGGCGAGGGGTACTCGGGGTTCTCCGAGGGGCAGCTACCGGGCACGATGAAGGCGTTGGTAGTATCGAGGATCTGGTTGGCGTAGGGGAATACGGTGTCAGATGGGCCGCCGAAGGGGTTGGTCTTCCAGATCTCTATCAAACTCCAGACTTCGTGACGCGTCTCGGTTTCAGCGATCGAAAGCATAGCAGCCTGCGACGAGGGGAGCTTGGCATCCCGCACCAGTCCGGTCAAGAAAGCCATGCTGGAGACCTCGAGGACGGTGACGAGGGCTAGGAATGAGGTAGGATCGTAGAAGGGGAACTGGTGCTCGCACGCGCCGGGCTTAACCGAGGTGGCAGAGATCTGGTTCTGGAAGATGCGCAGATGGCCGGCTTCGTTATTCCGGATCTCTTGGATTCGCTTGTATGTGGTGTTGGGCATGGCAGCCTTGATGAACGCCGTCTCGTTGAAGGCTTCGACAGCTTGCTGGTAGAAGTCGAAGATGACCCATTCTGCAGAGAGCAAGTTCTGCCAGACTACATCATCCTCACCAGGCGGTCCGGCCTTAGTCGGCAGGACGGCATCTCTCAAGTTTCCAGGGAAAGGTGCCTCGACGCCATAGTACGTGCTGAAGATCGGGCTCTGACCAGGAACTGGGCCATAGCTCGGGTCGGAGAGCTTCTGAGTATCGGCAAAAGAGCCCCTCTTCCCTATGATAGGCTTCGCAGTAGTGACAGAAACGAGAGGGCTCAAAAGGCACAGCTGGAGAAGAGATCGGATCGCCATGGTGAAAGTTGCCAGGTGAGAAGTCTTGAGGAATGAAGAGACGACTTTGCCAGATTCTCGAAATTCTCGAAATTCTCTTGTTGATCAGTCCTAACCGGGACAGGCGGCCTGTTTATATTGTGCTGCATATCCTACTGGCAGGTTCGTATCGGTGACCTCCAATAGCGCATTCGCAAGAAACGCCACGAAATTTCCCAACGGATGTTATGTCGTACATCGAAATTTCGCTTGATAATATCATGACGGGGTATATTCGTGATATGGACTAGACCTTGCAGACTTTGCAGTAAACAAAACCTGATCAAGACATGCATGAGAGAACAAAGCCAATCAATTGCAATGATGGCGTTCTGAAACTAGCGGCTCATGACTTGAATGCTCCGGCTTAGCGAGGTAAACATCCGTAAAGCTAGGAAGTCTAAGGTACCTAAATATTGAGACAGGTTGGTAGTACAATAGGGGACTCGTAAAGGACGTTTATGAATATATGATGCGATAAATATAATACTATGTAAAGCAGCGCCCAGGTGACCTGGTGCGTCCCGGTAGGCTGGGAACCCGAGAAACCATCCCCCCTTGCTGGCTATAAATCCCACGGCGGATCAGATACCCGGGTAACGTACCCAACCTACCTAGGTACCTGATTAGATACCTAGAGGTAAGTATAATGACGGCACAACAAGCAAGAGAAAGTAAAGTGACAGCTTCCTTGGTATAGCAACAAAACAAATTCCTGAATAGGATGTGTGCGCCAAGAAAGCGGCTCTGGTAACTAGCGAGATCTAGCGTTACGTTATATCTGAAGCCAGCGGAGACTAGATCGCAAGGTGGGCTGTCACCTGTGTGGTTACCGGAAATCTTCGAGGCGGGAGGGCCGTATTCATCCGGGAACCGAAAAGTGAAAACTGATAAAAGAAGTGGGAGCGAGCGGACACTATGGGCGGAATAGATTTGTCTAGTTATGGTGGACGGTTAGGACATTTGTGCCAAAATTAAGAAAATGGGTCGGGACTTTCCAAAAAGGGTAATATAGCAGGTGCACAGTATACTATGCAGGATATATATAAAGTAAAATATATTTTTTTTTTATTATTTTATATTAAATAAGTATAATTTGGCTAATTAGATTAAAAGATTTGATTGTTAATTTAAATTTTTAATTATTTTATATATATAATATATTTAAATAATTTTTTAAAAATAATAATTTAAACGTTATAATTAATATTATTTTATAACTTTAATTAATGCGAAAATAATAATTTAAATTGCATTTAAATTGGCTTTTTAACTATTATATTATAGTAAAATTAAATAGCGTTTATTTGGAAAGGCAAGTATATGATATTTTAATACGTGATACTTTTTAAAAGCATTTTTAATAAAATTATTCCAAATAAACTCTAAATACTTTAATAACAATATAATATTTAATATACATCGTATTAACATGTAATTTAGTCCATTATTTTCGCATTAATTAAAACTATAAAATGATACCAATTATAACGTTTAAATTGTTATATTCGAAAAATTATTTAAATATATTATGTGTATAAAGTAATTAAAAATTAAATTAATAATAAAATTTTTTAATGAGGATGGTTTGGATAATAAGGCTTGTATAGTTATATATATATAATTATATAACTTTTTAATATTTTTACCAATTTTAATTTAAATTATATGTAACTAAAGCTATAATTTTTGTTATTTTTTAATTGAAATAATATTGTTTTTTAAAAAAAACTTAAATAAATATTCGTTAAGTTATTATAGTATAAGTTAAAAAAAATGTATGTATTATTTTGTAAATTGTATATATAGGGTAAATAGTTGAGTTTATACTGTACCTTTAGCGTTATTATTACCGTATTAGACATAATGCCACCGACTTTTTCGATTTTGGCATAAATGTCCTAACCGTCCACTATACTAGTGGCTAGGTTAAGACATTCATATAACAATAACGCCTTCTTTACTCGGGCGCGTTGTTCCATTGATCAATTTCATCAGCTGTTGATTCAGGTGAGGAAAATAACTTTGCTGCCATTGGCTTGGCGGAAAATATAGCGTCTTTGTTTACTATGACCTAACATTTACAGCAGTGATCGACGCTGCTTAAACAGCTGGTATATTTACCTAGGTTAGTACGCTGTATTTATGTTAAGAAGTCGCAAGATAACTCGATGATTCATATATCCCTTGATAGGGGTGTATCTATAAGAACAGGTACTTAAAATTCACTTTATACCTAGTTTTCTTTAGTACTGGTTACATGTAGTAGCGTGGAAAGATGATATCCTTTAGTCTTTCTCAGTGATACTAACTTATAAGTTCTATCGGCTTATACAATTAACATCACTACCATAGTAGATACCTACCTAAGATAGAAACATAACAGCTTCTTTTCCCATATAGTTTTTGTATTAGTGTATCCCCAGCAGCCACGGGTCTAGAAGGCAATTCTCGTTTCCGCTGGGTATTACGATTTCATTTATGACCGTCAATTGAACATATAACCAAAGACTTTAAAATTCTAATATCTATAAGTCTCCGTACTTAGTGTTTGCTCCCAAGGTTCTGAGAACCTGTCTATGTAAGACCTACCCACCAAACCACCATCAGTATTTCACTTGTACGACTTCAGTGGCCCTAGATGCCCTCCCAACATGTTTTAATAACCTCACCAAAGGAAAGCTCACACGAAATGTAATTCTTCAAAGTAACTTATCGTAAAAGTAAGTAATAAACCGAAAACACCGCCCAAGGCACGGCGAGAAAAGAGGGTATCTCATTAGGTCTCAAGCAATACATCCAAACCCAACATCGCAAACAAACAACCTCAATAACCCTCAAAGAACTTCCTAATAATCTCCGCCGACCCCCTCGCCAACTCCCTCACCTCCTCCGGTAACTCCTCATTCTCCCCCTCCTGCTGCAATCTCCTCCGCCAGAAATCCCACCTCGCCGTACAACGCCTCATCTCCCCCGCACCCTTCTTATGCCCATACCACGGCAACTTATTCTCCCGCGCCCCCAAATCACCAACCTTCAAATCCGGCGAGACCCCCTCGTCCGCGCGCAGATTCCACATATACCGCCCCGCGATCTGGAGCCAGACGCACGCCACGGTGATCTTGACCGTCGCCTGCGTGATCGCCGGCGCCTTGACGTGCAGCCCCTCGCTCCGCGGCGCGTTCTCCACGGCCTCGCCGACCGCCCAGTCGCCGTACAGCGCAAACGTGCCGCTCGTGCCGCTGGCGACCAGGCGCGCGACGAACGCGTTGACGTTCGTCCACGCGTGTTGCTCCGGGACCGTCCAGCCCGCGCCGCAGCCGCAGCAGTCGTTCCAGGCCTCGCGCGCGCTGGGGCCCAGCATGCTGAGCGTGCTCCAGAGGGTGCCGCTTTCCCAGATCCAGTTCCGTTTTAGGGGGATGGTCATGGGGGAGGGTGCGGGTGGGTCGGGACGCTGTTTGAGGGCTTGGACGAGCGCGAGGAGGCGCTCTTGTTGGATGGTGTCGGTCCAGGGGATGCGCTTGGCTGCGTGCAGGATCCCGTACCAGAGGGACCAGAGGTGGCCTTCTGTGCTGTCGATGTCGGTTTCGTTGGCGGGGAGGGAGGGTTCGGGCCAGTCTTCTTCGGGACCCCACTGTGAGAGGGGAGGTTAGTATGTATTTCCTTGAGGGTGGCCCCTTTATAGTCTCGATATGATAGAGGTGGTTTGGCGTGACATCTTTCTGCCTCTCCCAAGTTCCTACTTAACTACTAGGTATCTACAGGGTATCTAAGGTAACGCAAGGAAGCACTCAGAGCAACTTACCAGCTCAAGCGCCTTCTCTGGGTTACCAAACGACCTCTGATTCCGCGCCGTCATCTCCGCATAGTAGTACGCCCTGCCATAATCTGCCGTCGAAAACGCCTTCTCGATAGGTGCAGCCAGCTTAGTAACAGCAGTCTCGGTATCGATGTCGCCGGCAAGAAAAGCGTCAATGGTCTCAGTCGAGCCGCTGAACCAATTCCGTAGCTCGGCGATAGCGTCGATTTTGGCCGGCTCGTCGAGCGTGTCGTCTTGCACGATTGCCTCTACCTTCTCTTCCACTTTTAAAGCGTGGATTTCGTACGGGTGGAGGATTTCAGGGCCGTCGAAGAGGGGACTTTCCTCTGGCGAGGGGAAGAGAGCGCCCTCTTCATCTTCCTCTAGCCATGCCCCCTCTGACTTTTTGTCTTTCTCTGCCATATTGAAGAGCGAATATGAAAAGTGGTAAGTTGAAAGATATGAGACAGATTGACTTCGGAGACTGATTTAAGCCGACTGTTAATAATGCCCGGTTTATGACAATCTATATCTAGACACTTTAACTCATATATACTTGAGTTCGTATTTTAGCATTCTACCAAATACCTCTCATGTAGTAATAATACCGGATGACTCAATCGGCGTCATCCCTACGTCTATTGCGCCTCGCGGCGAGCGCTGGGCAGATGCTTAGCCAGCTGCGTGGAGGGCGATCTGCAGTTTTTGACTGGTAAGAAATTCAACTATTACATAGGCCCCCCTCTCGCGACAGGGGCCGTGAATGGTCAAGACCAGTCCTATCTAAAGATCGCTCGTTCGTGTTTCTACAACAATCTCAATAAGACGTAAATTAGATATTTCCGGAACTAAAGGTCCCCTAATCGTACCTAACTCCAATCATGCCTAGAGTCTAGAGTTAACGAGTTGCCTATATAGGCACTAATATACCCTACACCAGCCATCAGACCACGACGATGAGTATTAGATACTAATCGCTAAAGTATCACAATTGTCTTTCTCATAAATCTGCTCACTATTTATCCGTTACCGGCATATGCGTGTTTCCTTGTTTCCAAAGTCAAGTGGTATAAAAGAGACTTAGTTAAGCTATAAATACGTGCTTTTTCCTTGTTACTATACAAGACTTTGGGCTATTGAAACACCTTTTTCCTTGATTAAACTAACATTGACCCTAAGCAGGTTCTTATATAATTACAAGCATAGATTAATTAGGGGCTAATCAGCGTAATTCTATCAGCGCCGTACATTGGTTAAGATATATAACGGGGTATAATATGATAGACACCAAGTAGCCTTCTATCCGTACGCAAGCGACATTCATGGATAAACCCTACCAACATACTTGAAACTAAAGAGATCCTCGGGGTCCGGTTCATACTGCAAGACCTCATCATTAGATATGCCGTAGAACATCGCCTCCTCGGTCGCCGAGATCGCAGTGAAGTTCACCGACGACGGCCCCCCGTTGAAATTGAAGCTCTGTATAGACTCGAAGTGGGTGCCGGACCACCACATACCCGAAACAGTGCCGTTGGGGAGCAACGCAAGAAACATCGGCAGACTGAAATCGTCTAGGAGCGTAATGGCGAACTGGAGGCTTGGTTGGGGTGTTGGTATGTCGTCGATCAAGTCTAGGTCTTGTTCCGTGTTAGCAACTAGACAATATCCCCGGATGCCTAATGACTTGGCAAAGTCGTCTTCGAGGAAAAACTTACTGGGATCCCAAGTCTCTATATATATAGTCTGCTGCATGATGCCAGTTTCTGCTGAGTGGAGAGCCTCCGATACAAGATTCAACCGAACAATCTCTATTTTGTCGTGTGCGTCTAGTTGGGGAATCAAGCCCAAGCTAGAATTCTCCGCAACAGATCTTGCCTGGACCGCCATGGTCGGGTTCTGCCAGTCGGTCGAGTTGGCGATGTTTATATCACCTCCAGGCGTCTGGTAAGCCACGGCCCAGTTTCCCCAGCCGTTCGGGCAGTTATCAGACCAACAACGTTGCCACGCGGCAGCCAGCTGAGAGCCGTGGTGTGTTTCTACGACACCGCTACCATTTGAATCGTATCCCCAGCCGTTCGGCGATGTCTTGGCATGCCTCAGCATAAGAGTACTGATATAGTTGGTGGGAGTTATGAACCAGACATGCACTTGATCCTTGCCGTTATAATCGCATGATATACTTGTCAGAGGTGTACCGGCTATGGGATTTAGTGGCGTCGCGTGGCCTTCCATAATTCTCGTGATGTTGCTCGTTTCCCAGGTCTTATTCTGCGAATCCCACCTCCGTGCGATAATAGCGCTGGACGTGTCCTGAAAGAAGATTGTCCGGTACGTGTTGCCGTCGGTCCCCGTCATATTCGACGACGCTAGCTTCGATATACCGAGTACATTGACATTAGGACTTTGCGACGGGTTGCCATCTGTGTTTGTGACATTACTAGAACCTGGCCGCGGACCGTCTGATTCTGAGCCGTCTGAGTGTTTAGTTTTAGTAGTAGAGTGGTTTTTGCGTGATAGGCCACCTGCGACTCCTCCAGCAATGGCACCGATCACCACTAGCAGTCCGACGGCGAGAATAATATAGAACGTACGTTTTGGTAGACCACAGATTTTGGCTGGCGTAGTCGTAGTACTGGGATGATCCTCTTTCTGGTGGTTGACGACTTCAGGAAAATAACCACCAGCTCCCTCGGCCTCAAAAGGAGCCACTTGGGGGGTTATATTATTAGGATGAGTAACGACCTCTTTATTTGTGTTGCCATAGCTATAGCCGTGCGGTCCATAGTTCTCAGCATCACAAACCTCTAGCGTGCTGTAAGGTAATGACATGGCGATAGGTGAGCTTCATTCCAAATCTCGACTTGTACGGCAAAGATTCCATGTGAGGAGCAAAGGCGACCGTGAAACCACTTTCGTGAGCCCTACTGTCGGGCCGTTGTCAACACAACACCAAACCAATTATAGCATGTCTGCGCTACGAAAAGGTATAGTGTCTCTTGTGCTTGTGCTAAACCAATCGTAGACGCTGATGCGAATATAGTAGTCCCGGTGTCACCACAGTTCTACCCAGCCCGCGGCGTGACGCCGGGTGGTGGTCTTGGCAAGGCGTAGAGGATGAATGTAAAAGGGGGAAGACTGAGTACATGGCGTTCAGCCACCTAAATATCTGAATCTCCGGTGAGGGGAGAATGAGACATGACCGGTCGTATACGGAAATGGAACGACGTTAAGTGGCGTCTATGAGCCTGTCTATATGTAGGTATCCCGGTTACCGGGAACAAATGGGATGTGCCTGAGCCACACTATTTGTGTAGTGTGATGAGGTTGACGGTTGACACTTAGAATAAACCCTGAATACGCTGGTATCTCCCCCAGTCAACTATTTGAGTCCTAGTAATTTTATATTGGCCTTCTCCCTGCTGGGCTGGCCTAGATCTTGAGAAGCCTTGTTTATCGTATGGCTGGCTCCCTGGAGGCTGGCAGATCTTCTCTTAGCATATACTAAAAACAACGTAATACCCTCGTGCCTATTCCGTAAACTCCGTAGAAATCGTCTTCTCATTCTCGCAGCAAATTAGACTCGTAGCGATTTTGGTTTACTATCAATCGTATTACTGCTATTATGCATATTGTTCGTTTCTCTTTCGACTCGAAGCGCCAACCCGGATTATGCGACACGAAAGGGTACAATGTTGAGGCGTGACATGGCCGACGTCCCTCCATGCTGTCCTAAGATCCTCGGATGCTCTTTTTATCATCACCCAACCGTCCGTAAACTCCAATTAATGAAACTCCTATAAGTATACACCGTATTACTATCACCTCCCCTGCCCAGTGTCCCGTCGTAGTCTCTCTTTATGATATGTCGTCATCAATGACCAAGCCATTAATACAATACTCCAACGGCCATAGAAGAGGTAACCCCTACGTAGCTCCTAGCACCCGAGTCCGTCATTCATATCGGAATACAAAAATATTTTCACTTGAAATGGTGATCCAAATATCGTCAACTACGGGCCATGTATCTGGACTAGCAACACCAACTTGTGCTTAAGCCTTTCGGGATCGAGTTGTGACTCCGTTGGTCTTAATTCCGGTGGCCTTAGCTTGCGGTATTTGTGCCGCGTGCGCAACAGTATGATGGTCCGGAAGAGGAGCCTGCGACATACGGCGAAGAGTCTTACGCGTGCTAGGTGCCCTTTGGTCCTTCTTGTAGGTAGCGAAATAGAAAGAGATGAAGAGAACTAGGTAAGAGGTCAAAGTACCAATACCAGCGAAAGCGGCAAACTCCTCTCCGGCACACTTGCCTGCGCTCGGCATGTTCGGGAAGTAAGTAGACGTGAAGTACGTGTACGAAGCGAAGTAGACGAATCCTACATACGAATTAGTTTTGCGCTCCGTCTGAAAAATGACACAACCAAATATTCTAACGTACCAAGGTCAATGATGAACTGAATGATCTGCAGACGGGTAATCCATTCCTTCCACCAGATACGGATTCCACGAGCACTCTGGAAGTAGTACCAGTACATTACGACGTGGACGGTCAGGTTCAAGGTAATAACGACCCACGACACGGCGGTCGAACCGAGGAGTTGAGTGTAGCAGAGGAATGCGGTAGCGCCGTGGTGGTAGCAGTGTAGGAAGGCTATTATGCGTTAGAAACACCGATCCTCCACATCTATTCAGGATTTGTGCTTACTCAGGGGCTTCTTCTTCAAGAAGAGGAAGACGGTGTCCAAAAGTTCCAGGTACTTGGTGAGGTAGTTCAGCTAACTCGGGTTAGCTTTATCCCTTCGTTGCGAATAGGGGCCGTCAGACGAAAACTTACGTAGTAAAGAACTACCAGAGGCTGCGTCCAGCCGCCGTCGGTATCGCAGATCGAAAAGAAGATTCCATGGCGAACGACGGTTGGTAGCAATTGCTCGATAAATAGCGCTAGAAGTATACCACTAATAGCGGTAAGATAGAAGTTGTGGACCAAGAAGAGAGCCTTTAGCTTAAAGGGCTCCCTATTGCGCATATACTCGCGACCACCGAAAATGATTAGGTAGTATACGATAATAAACGTCAATGTCTCTTTTAGAGTGGACATTGGTGTCTTGCCGGCCACGAACCGAAAGTCGTCAGCAGGATAACCCGCCACCACTCCGAAAGCCTTGCTAAAGTAAGGCCATAATTGTATGCCAAAAGGTCGGTCGAGCGTTGGGATAGGAAGAGCTTCCCAGATAGCGGCGGGGGCCGGGGAAGCCATGATGTAGAATAGTCTATATTAGACACAATTGAAGCGTGTGCTCGATGTCGCGTAGTGATTTGCGCTCGATGTTTCAAGGGAGATAGGAATTAACAAGGTTATCCGCGACGAGCAGCTCAAGTAGTAAGAAACGGCCGTTTGAAGGAGTGACTTGAAGTATTATAGACCAGCGATGGTCTTGCCGGCTGGGTAAGAAAAAAAAAGAAGAGGTAAAAAGGAAAAAGGGAAGATTGGGATCTGTGTAAAATCCACGATTTACGGATCTCGTGAAGATGGAAAAAAAAGTTGAGAAAGACGGGATTTCGGTTCTTCATAAAAACTCCACGCCAACAATAGGAGACGCGACAGATTCAAATTCTGATTGGCTAATTGAATGATTAGGCCTGTTCCATAAGGATTTACCGATCGGAATTGACGGGATCCTCGGAGACCGTCTAGGGATAAGGCTGTTGATTGTACTGTGCAAGTACCACAGACTAGCACGTGCTTTTCATACACCCGCCTATACCGCCTATACCGTCTATACTTCGCGTATTAGTAGCACATACCATCCGCAATGCTTATTCATATACATAGAAGGTACTTGGAGTTTCCCCATTATAGGTACCTACCTATGAGGTAGTGTAGGCCTCTGAATGTTTGTACCTGCATATGCCAATATGTTCATTAAAATGAAGCCTATCCGTTGAGGTTATTTATAATGGGGAACAGTCAATTTGTCAATGCCATTCTTTTCTACTGTCTTATACGAATTTATTACGCATAGAAAAGAAACGCGAAAGCCATAAATTAATCTTTGGTACATGCTGTCTCCAATCTCCAATCTGTCTTATCGTTCGATTTTCAGCACAACTTAATCTAGGTACTAGCCACATATGCAGCTCATAGGGGTGTATAAGATAAGAATAAGATAATCGATCTAATCCTATGTGCAAGAGAGATGAATAGATCAACCTCGGCCAATTTCAAAATATGGATACTTCTCTTTCGGTAATAAACATTACTTGTAGACACGTATTCAGATGCCCAGTTGCGAAAAACGGCTCAACCCCATATGTCAACAAAATAATGAGCGATGTAATAGACAAGACTGCTGGGCATAAGGGGCTTAAGGTTAGTATGCATTTTAGCGCGGGGGGCTAATACGGAAAACATCTCAAAGGGAGACCTTATACGGATCCGTATTCATGGCTGAATAGTGGCTGATAGGACTGTCTCTTATTACATATGTAGGACAATTGGGCTTCCCAAATCTAACCAGAGAGTCAAGTTTCAAGTTCTCGTAAGTCCGTCTCATCCGAAAGATATATAATATCCGGGAACTTTAGGTAAGTTAGCTATTATATATCACTCCGGGGAGGTCAATGTTAGGAGCACTTAGACTTCTTAAGTAAATACCATAGTTATGGATGCACAGCAACTTTTGATCAAGTTATTTAGAAATCATATATTCTATAACGAGTGCCTAAAATTTCAAAGATAGGCACCTAAAGAAAGCCATATCCTGCCCTACTGACATGGACATGGAATGTATAAGGTAGGCAATCTTAAGCCCGATAAGAAGATATCAAATTAATTTGCTTACCTAGGTAGGTACACAATTAAGTAGGGTCATTGGGTTGTAACCTATCGGCTTCCTTGGGCATGTTAAAGAAGACATAATGCTATTGTTTAGAATTATGGACTTCCAAGTCTAATGCCGTCAACGATAAGATTCTCCATTCTTATCAAGGTTAGGCGCCATAATCTTTCTAGGCGATAGAACAAATACTAATATGTATTGCAGGGTAGAGTGTAGGTAGCATTTATGATAGGTATTTGACGAATGAGAATGCAAGCAATGACGTCGAAGCCCAACACGCAATTCACATGACTTGCTTGCTGCCCTGGATCCATCCCTCCTGCACCTGCGAGGTAAAAAAAAAAAAAAAAAGTCCAATCGTCAAAAGTGTAAAAGTTAACGCGAGGAGCTCCCCGCCGCTTGGACCAACATGCTTAAGTCGGCAGCTATGCTAACCCAGTTTAGTTGCAGAGTGAGCTCACTGGCAACTGCTATGCCCGTAACAGGCCTGCAGGCTTACCTATGCCCCCTCCAGCTCCACATACCAACGGCCGACGGACCAATAAGCACCCACTCTTTTGCGAGCCGGCCTTCCATTTCTCCCCCCATCATTCGATTGCAAGAAATTGTTTTGCGGTTAACTTGAACTTGAGTCGAGAAAGCGGCCACCAAATCATATCGCACAACGCAAACCTGTGTTATCCCATCTCGCAACCATCCTCTTTTTTATTTTCTTTATTTCTTTAAACCGACGACAAAAAAATTAACGTAAAGCTACCACACCACGCTATAATTCTTTTCGTCGCACCCGACCACCAACGTCCGGTCTCCTCTTTTTTCTTCTCTTTTTTTTTTACCCCGGGTCCTCTAATAGAAAAAAAAAATTATGTCGTCCATGTCGCTCCTCAGAATTGCCTCGCGGGGCCCCTCCAAGACCTTCTTCCGCGCAAACCGACCCGTCGCTCCCACTCGGTCTACCGCGTCCTTCGTCCCTGGTCTGATTGCCGGCTCGAGCCTCAACTTCAGCACTACCGTGCCCCGAAAATCCGCTGCGCATCACGAGGAGACGTTTGAGGAATTTACCGCTAGGTAAGGACCTCACCTTTTTTTACGCAACATTCGTGTCGACTCGATGACGCCACATAAAATATATGGGAGCAAGCTTCATTTAGATCCAATTGAGGTTAATTGGCGACATGTTGAAGCATCTATGACGTTCAATTGGTTATAAGATGGGGTTGTGGGAGCTTGAATATCGCTCAATTGGTCATTAAGCGACCTCATCAAATATCATATTCAGACCTGATAGCTAACCCGAGTTTCCTCGGCGCAGATACGAGACCGAATTTGAGAAGGTGCAGGATGTTTTCGAGTTACAGGTTCGTCAATTTCGAGTCAAACGTCAAACGTCAAACAGCTTCCTTCCGTTCTCCCATCATCACCCGTCACCCGAGCTTCTTTACCTCGGACACCTGCTTTCGGACACCTCAACTAGGTCGACCCACTATCCCCACACCTTGGCTTATAATCTCCCATCACGACGTCAGCATATCATAAAAAACGATTCAAGGTCGAATTAGTGGGAGAAATAGTTATGCTAACATAGGTGTGACTATAGCGCAACCTGAACAACGCCTTCGCCTACGATCTCGTCCCCTCTCCCTCCGTCGTTGAGGCTGCACTCCGCGCCGCCCGGAGAGTTAACGACTTCCCCACTGCCGTGCGCATCTTCGAGGGCATCAAGGCCAAGGTCGAGAACAAGGAACAGTACAAGCAATACCTTGACGAGCTAAAGCCCCTGCGCGAAGAACTCGGCGTCGTCCTAAAGGAGGAACTGTATCCCGAGGTAGCCAAATAGACGACCCTACCCTCCTGATCTCGCTACGAACCTCTCATCGAGGCTCGTTTTTTTTTTTACCGGGAAAGTGAAAAGGGCGAGACGGGCAGCACGAAGAAAATGCATAGGTGTACGGGCTGGTGTATAGCAGGAAGCTTGCTTGGAAGACAGGCAGGAAAGCGAAGATGGGGTTAGGGGGAAATAAAAGAGAGAGCTGATCCGGCATCATATCGTGTCTCGGATCTGGTTTGTTTCCCGCCTGCATGTGTATATGTCTACTACTTACTACCTTTACCACTTATTACTTACAACACTACTACTACTACTACTCCGCCAAACAGCAACAGACGAAATTAGACACCGAACCCCCTCCCTATCTCTCTCGGGGCTTAGAGAAAAGTAGTTAAAAAAAGATGAAGCATTGCAGAAGATGGTCGCATTTTTGTGAGGTGTTATTCATTTGGGCTGAGAGTTTATAGAGACGAGAAGCTCGCTCTATGCTCTGCTGTAAAAGCCTATCCCGTATAGCTACCTTAGGTACCTACCTATCTGCCCAACCTTTCCCACCAACCAAACTTAATAACCCTTTTCCAACTATTCCGAAATTCTATTCTCGTATCTTTCCCGTCCTAACCTGTAGCTCGGAAAGAAAACTGCCCGGGAGGGGATATATGATGAACCGACTAAGGCTGCTGATGTGAGCAGTTCTGTTACACCGCAGAGGATTAAGGATTAATCGTAAGATGCAAACGGTGTAAAGGTGAAAATAGGCAAGTTTCCGCGTGTACGCGCTTATAGAATAAGTTAAGGCTAAGGTATACGTGACAAGCTTACCTAGCTTCGTTTCTCGCGTAGGTTACGTACGGTAACAATAGGGGCTGAATAGTCATAACTACCTCTTATTCGCAATGTCTACTTTACGGTGTCGTTACTTAACCTATCAAGTCGCGTTCACTATTGCGGCATGTATTGAGTATTCTTACGGCTTCATCTAACGATTAGAATAAAATTTCCCTTCTCATGTTGTCGTCGAAGAAACAAGAATCGTAAGATCGGGAATGAGTTCTCGTCAACGCAACGCAACGCAAACCATGTATTCACCATATACTCTCTGCAAACATACACCATCTGCCTTTCGACTATCCCCCTATCGTTCGTCGTCATATAAATCAGTAGTAGTAATAATAGCAAGTAACAGCAATAACAGCGACCCTAGTATCCCTAGGGTTGGAAGTCCTTCTATCTAGCTAAATCAATCAACCATGTGCGCTCCGCCAAGAAAAAAACGAACTGAAAAGGAGGAGCCTGAAGACCCTCGTAATCTTTAGTACAAATAAATACAAACGCGTTGCTGCCCTCCTGCCTACCGGGTGCAAAATCGAAAAAAGTGAGGATAACGAACGTCCTCTACTCCTTTCCATCATTCCATTGCCGCAAGGGGGTCGTGATGAGATCTCAATACACCATTTTGAGATATAAGAGGACGCTGCCATTGTCTCGTATGAAGACGAGTCATTGAATTTTAGAAACCCTTTGACCCTCATCAGAACCTGGACTCTCGCAGATGGGACGCTCGACTATTTGGAACTGGAGTGCCAATTCCGCCTCCCGCCTCGAAGATTCCCGTCGCCGGAGCAGGACTAGTACCACGACTGCTAGAGCTACCCTTAGTGCGACCACCGTTGCGAGGACTATTGACGCCAAAGGCGCTTAACCGCGGGCTTCGAGGAACACTACTCTGTCTCGTACCCCGTCGGTTTTCCTTCAGCATTCGCAGCTCGTCCCGGAGTCGGTTGAGCTCTAGATCTCGGTCGCGAACGATGCTCTTTTGCTCATTAAGTAGTCGTAGGAGTTCCTTGCTCTCGCTCTCCGCATAAATCTGGTTTATTTTAACCGTGTTATCGTTGGCCTTGCGATTGAGTTCTTCGACTCGTTGTTCGAGCGCGCGGTTCTCGGTCTGGAGCTCCGCAGCTCTCCGAGATGCATCCTGGTAGGCATTTTTGGCGTATTCCAACTCGTTGTTAGCTAATGAGGCCTTCTTTTCTAGGCTCTGCACCTTGATTTTAGACTCCTCGAGCTCTTTCTCCAGCCGTACCATCTTGGCAACCTCGGGATTTGCAGACTTAAGAAGCGATTCATGCGCTGCAGATAATCGTTTTTGCTGCTCCGCAAATTTCTCCTTTAGCTCGTCATATTCTCTCCGTTTAGATTCAAGACTTGCACTGGCCGCTAAGGCTTCCTCCTTAGCTTTGTAGTACTGGTCTTCGTAGGTTCCACGGTCCTTTAGAGAAGTCATATACTTCTCTTGTACCAGCCTAACAGTGGAAGCATAGTTATCGACCTCTTTCTTGGATCGATCGCTAAGCTCGCGGAATTGCTTTTCTCGCATTTGGCTCTCTCGCAACTTGGCTTTGAGGTTTGTGACCTACTTAAGATTAGTCCGAAATTTATAATATTCACCGACAGAATTCAACCGACCTTAGCTGATAGCTTCTCTAACTTGTCCACTGAAACTGAGAGCATTGCCTTCGGCGACTCGTCCACCGTGTCATCTCCGATAAGACCTTTCAGCGAGTTACTGATGTGACTCACATGAGTGACAACCGTAGGTTGTGATACTCTGGGGCGCTTAGAGGAAATATCATCATCTTCGCCCTATTTATTGGATTAGTATCTTAGGTACCCACAATGTAAATTGTAGTAGGCTAGCTTACCTCGTGAGACCTTTTCCGACTACCGGGGAGTTGGTCGGTTCCAAAGGCCCCTAAAACGGACTGCGATACTTGCGACTGGGAGTTAGCAGCGTGCAAGTCCTCGAACACATCCTCTGGTACCTCATAAGGCTCCCAATAGTAATCATCGTCATCCGGGTCTTGTATGTACTTGCAGAAAGTCTCAGCTGCCAAGTGAAATTTGATAATTAAAGAGTCGTCAACGTCTTCTATGTACCGCATTGCTTTGACTAGCGCGAGCACAAGGACGTTCTTTCGTTCCAATGATTCTAGGTTCTCTGAGACACGCATATTAAGGTGTTGGATGGAGCATATATTCGTTAGAACCATCAATATAGAACGCTCTCGCACCGTTTGTGGGAGCAACTCAGGCCGATACGTATGATCGTATGCTATGACTACGTCGATATCTTCGGGTATTGACGAGGAGTTATCAAGGGTCGACGAAATGGCAACGGTTAGACTGTGCTCAGCACTGGAAGGGCCGACGATCTCCAGGCCGGATCGAATATAACGATAACCTCTTGTTTCTATAATGTTACCAAGGAAATCCATGACCTTTCCGGGACGGGACAAGATGAGAACTTTCTTATCCGAATTCTCTTCGGCCAAGTAAACAAGCAACTCGGCAACAAACGCGAATTTCGCATTAGTATTTACGATATGCTTCGTTACCTCTGCAGGTGTCATAATTGTTGTAGTTTCTATAAACGGTGGCAGGTCGCAAATATCGAAAAGACGAGAGAACATCTCGTCAATTTTCGATACTGTTGCAGGATGCGGTATTTGATGAGGGGAAACACGAAATGCAGCGTTATATTCGCGAATAAGCTCCTCATTGTCGCGAAGGACGTCATTATATACAGGCCGGCAGCTGTTGTAGAATGGAAGCGTAACGAGATACTCGTTAGGTCCAGTGGGTATATAGGGGAGAAGGCTCCTCGGATAGCCAGGGGGTGTCTCATCTTCCTCATGCGGTATAATAAACTCGTCTGGTATCTGTAGACTGTTATGGAGAGCATCGTGTACTGGCATTGATGGGCTGATATCCATATCATGTTCAATAGATAACGTCAAGGCTGATGGGTCTAAGGTTGCAGGCTGCTCTTCTTCGTGGGCATCATACCCTACTTCAGCAGGGCCGCTCTCCTCTAGTCCCAGCTCGGCCTCCTTCTCTTGCTCAACGGGTGCTTGGGTAGTCTCAGGTACTGGCAATTGATGATCAAAGGATGTGTCGTCAGCAACCGTCTCTAGAGGCGGAACCAGGAAAGATTGAGATGTCAAGTTTACTGGAGTCAGAGGACTAATATCTCGGGAAGCAGGAGCTTGAACGATTGGTGCCTCCTGAATATCCGGTTCCGGGCCTGCTGAAGAACCCACGTCAGTGCTAGCCGCTCTAGCATCAGCCTCCACTTCAGCCTTTCGTCGCGGGAAAATATCGTCCAGGGCTCCAAAGTGTTGCTCCCGAATTAATCTCAGCCTCTCACGTGCCGTGAGCCGGGCGGGCTGGTCGGTATCCATATTCGTAGGCGCGACCGGTTGCTCCGATTCGAACGTAGGTGGTCCAAAACGTATTCTGTCTACTCCGAAATCTACAGGTTTCTCGGGACGGGTTTGCGAAAGCTCTGCGTGGCTCGGCTCAGGTTCTAATTCAGGTTGCTGATCTTCTGAGAAGGATGTATTCCTAGTATTACCGTCCAATTCACTTAAAGCTTGGCTTGAATTTTGCGGGTCGCGTTTGTCCTGCGCGTTTCTTAGTACAGTGTCAGGTACAATTAAATCGTCGTAAACAGTAAAGGTCGTCTCGCTATATGTCGCGAGCCCGCCCTGTTGGCTACTGAGGGGCAGCACGACTTGGGCGGCCTGTGAGTTATTACTTATCACAGGTGCCTGGTTCTGATCTTGGCTGACACTCGTCGTAGAGATGTGCTCGTTCCAAGCTAATTCGTGAGGTATAGTAGATGCAAAACTAGTTAGCTGAGACGTTGGAGGAACAACATCAATGTTGAGGCCTTCTTGTGTCAAGAACTCGGGATTTCCTTTACCAATGGTGCTCTGCGAATTGTCGGGCCCTACAACGGTCCCAATCAGAAAAGTCGAAGTTGACGCGTTTCCTTGGTTTCCAACAAAAGGGCGATCCGGCTGGCGCGAAGGAATTTCTGTTGAGTGCCCAAACGATTCCGGAGGCTGAAGCCTTTCTTCTCGCTGAGATGCGACAACGGCACGTTCCTGAAGCTGACTTGTTCCAAATGAATTTAGGTGGTCAGGGATACTACTATGTACATCAGAAATCAAAGCGCTGTATATTTCCTGGGAATCAGGCACGATCCTCTGCTCTTGGCTCTCAACCTCGGATTCGTGAGCTAGTGCAGCATGGGCATCGGCAAGCTGAGAAGACTGCTGGCTATTCGTTTGTTGTGAATCGGGTGGCACGCGCACGTATTCATCCGCGGGAAATGTTGGATCGCGCGGCAACCGTATCACTATGCGAGATTTGTAAGGTTTTGGATCACCTTGGATATCGTCGGAGGGGTGGTTATGTAAGTTGTCGTGGTTCAGCTCTCCCTGCCGCTCTGCTAGCTCCTTAGAAAGTCCAAGCTTATGGCCCGCACTCCTGGGGAGTACCGACGGGTTTTCTGTTAGTTTAAGCCTTAGCTTGGGTAGTTTGGATGCAGGTTCCTCGCTAAGCCCCGACTCATACAAAGACGAGTGTTCCAAAGGGCGCTTCTTAGCACGACCTTGGTGATGCCGGTTAGATGTTGAGACGGAACCGCTCTCCCGAGTATTAAACTCTTGCATAGAGGGGTTAATGTCACCAATAACTACATCAAGTTTCTCCTGGGTGTACTTGGATCTGGCTTTC